GGGAGTTGTCAATCCCTTAAATGTCATACTCCGGGCCAGCTGGCCACGTATGTTTCTGAACTTGTCAAGCAGAGTATGCCTTCCTCCCCTCCTTTCATATAAAACAGCTTGTTTTTGTTTTGTATTTTAAAACTCTAATTCAAATTCACCAAAAGGAACTTTTGCAGATATGAGTCCCATGTCTATAGTGGATATAATTTCAGAAAGGAGAAATTGCCTTTTTGCAGTATGGTATATTGTTTCTATAGTTCTAATTTACACTTTGCCCATGAACATTTTCAGCTGGCTTTCTTCTGTAACCGACACTTTGTATTGTCGCAAGGAGCATTATTTTCCCTGTTAATGGGAAGGGCTGAACCTTGCCAGATAATGTCTAAGGTCTTTTTCAGCTTTATGATTCTAGAATTTTACAATTAATTAGGTTCCAGCCATTCTTAGAATGTCTAGCTCATTGTATCTAAAGAGTTAAAAGACAAAGCTGAAGACAAAGATAAATCCTAATTGACTACATGGTGCCAAAGGAACTGAAAAGAGAAGCTGGAATCCCTTATCTATTCTCCTCCCAAGGACAAAGCCTAGCTGCATATAAACAAGCAAACAAAAGTAGGCTTTTGCTGCCTGAATAATCTAGCTGCTTAATGTAAGACATCCCATAATCCATGCTTATTTAAAACATAATTGTATGCATGCATTCTTTTCAAGTTATTTACAAATCCCCATAGGTCACTGCAAAGTAGTGATGTTCTTTAGATAGCATAAGCAAAAATATTTAATACTCTAGAAAATCTGACTTTAAACATCTCTTCCTCATTCTCCAAAATTAAGCCTCAGACCCCAAAATAAAACCTGGTCCCAACTGGGCCCCAGCTTCTCATAAAGAGGATCCATATGCGTAATAGTTCACGCTCAGGCTTTGACCCCGAACCGCTGGGGAGTTCAAACTATGCTTCCAACACTTCCACCTGTGTTTCCTAACCTCTCTCTGCCTTACTCTTCTCATCCGGAAATTGGGTATCATAATTTTAGCATCCACTTCACACAGGGTTAAAGTGAATATTAGATAAAGTATATCACCTAATGCATAGGAACAGTGCTATGTCCACAATGGGAAAACCAAGCAGCAATCTTGACTGTGCCCCACCCAAAGCTTGCCCTGCCATTAGAGTTCCAGTCTATATAAAACAAGATATGAGTTTCTTACTTAAGCTGAGTTTTCTGTGACTTGTAGGCAAAAGCATACTAACTGATAAGGGGATTTAAAAAAAAATAACAAAAACTGCATATTTCTCAGATTTGTTATGAGGAATCAGGTCACATAAAGGATGGGAAAGTGCTTTGCCAATGTCCAAAGCCCACGTTCTGCCTCCAGCAGAAGACTGAAAGTTGTAGCGCCTTGTCAAAAGACAACTAGAACATAGAGGAGAGGAGCATTCGCTCCCCTTCTTTTTAGCATAAAGCTGACAAACACCTCTAGACCCAATTAAATTTATATATTTTTAAGGACATAATAACAAAACGATCTCCTGTATACATAGACTTCTTGTAGGAATTCTGGGCCTTATGAGTTCCATTATATACTTTCTCTACTATATGATTCTATACTATACCGTGTTATAATATACTATATTTTACTATATAACGCTATACCATATTATACCATTCTCTGACATTCTGTGCTGTTCTATACTATGCCATATCACACCATACCATACTATACTGCACTATGCTTCACTGTTTCACTAAGCGTCACTGTATTACACTATACTACCCTCCTACTCACAGTGTGGTCTGAGAACCAGCAGGATCAGCATCACCTGGGAGCGGTAGCTTCTTAGAAATGCAGAATCTCACCTTGACCTGCTGAATTGGAATCTGCATTCAAATGCATGTTAAAGTTTGAGAGGCCCTGCTATGCTCCCCTATACTATACAAGGAGGCAGTATATAGTACAGTATTTAGTACACAGACTCGGGAACCCAGACTGCCTCGTGTTCAGATCTCAGCTCTTCCATATACTTGAGCTGTGCCTAAGTTTTCTCATCTGTAAGACTGTACCTATTTCAGAGGATTATTGTGAGGATTAAATGTGTTGATATGCAGGAAGTCCTTGGAACAGTCCCTGTCTAAAGATTATCTATTCTGATTACACCATGGTTGTACAGTAGAATCTGGGTAGGAGGTGGGGTCTTGCATGAAACCTTTTCTGGGCCAATCACCCTGGAAAGGCAAGTCTTGGGAAAAGAAAGGTAAACTCAGAAGAGCAAACCCAGACTGTCAGGAGAAGGAACACCTGTGTCTGGGACTTGTTGCTTTGGATAAAAGCTAGAGGAGACAAAACAGGATTGAGTTTGACCTTGGCCATAGGGAACCAGACTGGCAACAAAGTAGGGAGGTCCCTGCACTGAGCCTCATAGAAGAGACAGTATGTTCTATTCCATAGGACGGTCTAATTGATATTATTCTCTGCTTCTATTTCCCTTTTGATATGCACAAACCTTCAGTAAAGTTATGTTTACACATTCCAACCTGACTTCATCTATGCTACAAGGAGTAAAGGGAAGAGTTGCGAGGACTTTCTAGAGACACAGTTCTGAGAAGGCTCAGGCCTCTCTGGAGGTCAGAGTGGTGAAAGCCACAGGAATGATTAAAAGGATCCCTGGGAGGAGGTGAATCGCAGGGTCAGTTCAGTCCAGTTGTCCTCCCCACAAAGTGATCTTCCCTTCCTTGCCCAGATAGAAGAATCAGACTTTATTCTATGAATAGAGCCAACAGAGTCCCGGACCCCTACAATAGGCACATGAAGCAGAAAGTAAGTCCTCTGTCACTCACCTTGTGGAGTGCAGATCTGATCAAGAATTGTCTTCTCCAGGTTCTCAAGGGACTCAAAATTGTCTCTATAGTACACTTTGCCCTGGTCATTAGTAATCTCCAAAAGCTGAGAGTTTTTGGCTTCCCCCACCCCAACGGCAAAAATATTTATGTTTCTGTCCCTGAGGGCCTTGGCTGGTATTGTTACGCTATCCTTTGTGACCCCATCGGTGATCACAATCAAATACTGACGAACACTGGGTCTCCCTCCTCTTGAGCTGTCAAAAAAAGGCAGAGTGAAATTCAGGGCTTTCCCCATGTGGGTGCCATCGTTCATTTGCTGAACAGCTGAGATGCCTCTGAGAATGTCCACCTTTGAAGAGTATTGGCTGAGCATAAATTCTTCCCGGGGCTCTGTGCTGAACTGTAAAAGGCCAATCTGAACTTTATCAGGACCAATATCAGATATGTTCACCATTTTCTCCAGGAATCCCTTCATCTTTTCAAAGTCTTTTGAAGAGATGCTTTCTGAACCATCTATCAGGAAGATAATGTCAGCTTTCTTATCCTTACAGACTAGGGGAAAAAAAGAGCAGAACAGAACATTCATTCAGAGTCTGAATCCAATTAATTACAAATCCCAGGGACAGGCTGAGGTGGCATATACACAACAGAAAAATATTTTTAAAGGGATGGAAAAGGGAGTTAGTAATTTTCTACAACCCAGCCCAGACCCATCTCAAAATCAGACACAGCTGTTATAATAAGGATATAAAATTTGACCCGCTTGGTTCATTCCAGGTCATGGTCACTCTTTGGTGTCAATACTCATTTGTTGACCAGTGGATCCACGTTTCAAGTATGAAGCCTATTCAGATAGATTAGACACATGTACTTGGAGAGAGACTAAGACGGAGAGAGGGAGAGTTGTTGAAGAATAAAATTCTTCAAAGTTTATTAGTGGTTATTAGGGGCAGGCAAGAGGGAGAGGGAAAGGAAAAGAAGACAATGCTTAAGGGACCCTGAGCTTCTGGTAAGGGTGATGGAAAAATTTGGGAATGGTTAATGGTGATGTTTGAACATGATGAACATATTTAATGTCACTCAACGGCACATTTTAAGATTGTAGAAATGGTGAATGTTTTGTTACCCATAAATTTACCACAATTTTTAAAAAAAAAAAAACAACTTACTCTCTGAGGAGCAGATATCCCATACCACTTCTGTTTGAATGGCCTTCAAGGAATCAAACCCAAACACAAAAAAAATCTTGTCGTTCGCTATTTTTCTAAGCTCATCAGTGTTAGCATCTCTTACTCCAATTGCATAGATGGTGACATAGCCTTCTCTCAAGGCCTCTGCAGCTTCGGCCACTGGGTCGTTAGATTTTCCATCAGTGATGACTATGAGATATTGAGGTATCTTGCTGCGGGCAGTGTCTGCAAAGATCTGCTTCATGTCATTCAAGGCCTGACCTGTGTTGGTGCCACCTCCCATCTGCTGGATGCCATCAATGGCTACCTTCAGCTCTGCCACACTGGTATACTGGCTGAGGATAAACTGATTCTGAGTTTTGTCTGAGTACTGAACGACTCCAAACTGTATTCCGTCAGGCCCAACCTGGAACATCTTTATCACCGCATTCATGAACACTTTCATTTCAAGAAAATCTTCAGGTGTGATGCTGCCAGAACCATCAATAAGGAAGTAAATATCTGCCTTCTTAATATGCACACAACCTAGGCAATAAGAAGAAGCAACAACCCAATGCATTAGAGTACAGTCTGAGATGGGGTGTAGCCAAAGCTGGTGATACCATGCCCCACCCATGCTTCCTTAGCACTGGTTGTTTCTTTGAGAGCCAACAGCTTTCTACTGAAAGCCCCTGTGATTATGCCTGAGCGTTAATTGACCAACAGCATGATCAGCCCACACACTGGCCAGGCCAGAACGCCTGGGAGTCAGTCCGGGAGCAGCCACCAATGGCTGCCAGGAGCTGGTGGATAAATATCCCAGCTCCCTTGCTCTTTCGGTGGGCCAGCTCTGAGGTGAGTTCTACAGTCTCCCTGAGGGTCCCAGCAGAATTGAGCCCCAGTTGCCTACAGCAATAACCTGCTCAGTAATTCACCCTGTATTGGCTTCCTTTCCTTTCCTTTCCTGTCTGGGGTCACCTCCCGAATAAATCATTTGTATCCAAATTCTTGTGTCAGAGTCTATTTCTGGGGAAACCCCACTTAGAGATGAAATAAATTTACATAACATTTCTCAGATGGAGACATTGAAAACAAGATGAAAGTAAAAAATCAGAGCATATTTGGAGCTATGAATTGCTGCAGTATAAATCATTTCCTACCTCCCAAGCCAAAACACACTTTTTAAATGGGTGGGCAAAAGAGCGTACTTTCTGAAATTTAAAACTTCCTGTTTTAAATGGGCCTCACTTAAATGAATCACTTTGTAATAAAGTCTAGACTCCAAAGGGCAAAATGGCTCAGATCCTGTCTCTACCACTTGCTAGCTGCAAGACCAGAAGTCTGTGACTTGGCCTCTGTGCATCTCAATTTCCTAGTCCATCAAACGAAGACCTTAAAACCTACTCAGTAAGCTTATTGAAAGGATTAAATAAGATCACATACACACAGCAGGACTGAATATTAAAAATGTAAGGTTAGGATTAACTGGTGTGTTACTTTTTCATCTAATAGATTCCTCAAAAAGAGTGAACATTGTTTCCTCCTCAGCCCTTTCAGTAAGGGCAGCCCAGTCTTGTGTTCTTAATCTCTGGATTCTCTTGATCCAGGAAGAATTAAGATCCTTTTCATGTTTCCTGGCTGAAAGGGAAGTGACGTGAGGTGGGAGTTAGATTCCCCTGCTCAAGCCTTTATTCAGGACGCCCTAATTCTATGCAATATTTGTGACATACTTATACCTAAAAATGTGCTTATTGCTAGTCTGAATGAAATTCAGATATGACTAGTGTCCTGTATTTTATCTGGCAGAGAGGGGCAGGCATTGGAAGAGGGTATGGCTTGGAGGGGTCCAGGAAGACGTGAACTGCCCGAAGTTAAGTATTGTTGATTCCTTGGAGATTGGAGAGAAAAAAATATAGAAACAGAAGGCAGAAACTGGACGTTGCTGGAACCCAGCACCCACCGGTGATGGGGCCTGGGAGGTGGATGGGGCCTGGTGTCTGAGGAAAGGACCGCTGTCAGCGGACGGTCTGAAGACAAGACCACTGTGAGGGGAAGGCCTGATGAGAGGGCCACTGTGGGAGGAGGGTCTAAGGAAAGACAGCTGTGAGAAAAGTTCTAAGGAAAGACAGCTGTGAGGAGAGGATCTGAGAACAGGGCCATTGTGGGGGAAGGTCTGAGGAAAGACAGCTGTGAGGGAAGGGTCTGAGGACAGGACTGCTCTGAGAGGAGAGGCATCTCTGTAGCCAGTCAATGAAGCTGTGACCCAAGGGTCTCCACTGCATCCCAGGGCCTTTGCACTGTCCAGAGGGGCTGAGGGCCCTAAACACTGCCCACCATTCTTGGTAAACAGGGATTTAGGGGGGAAAAAAAGAGACATTTCTTACAGTCTGGATGCCTCCAGGCATCCACATTTATTATGTATATGAAGTGTTTAACAGAGTGCCTGGCACATAGCAAATGACCAATAAACAGTAGAGAGTATGATCATTATGACCATCCAGATTATCCAGACATAAAATTGTCATGGCTTCTGTTCACCTCTAAACTGTCCCACCCCTAATGCCTCTAGACCTTGGGATGATTTTCCTGATTCCCAGTTCCTTCTTAACAGCTAGCTATGTAATCTGGAGAAGGAACAAACTCTTAACTCTTTATACTGTTTGTGAATTAGCTGGGCTTCATTTCTCTCCTTCTTCCCTACAGAATATAGGCAAAGAGTGTACAAGGAAATGAAATTCAGGCATAAAAATATTACCCCTTGCTCCCACAACAGAGATAGGGACTAAAAATACAGGCCAAAGAGAAAAATTGAAATTTATTTAGGTATTTCAAATCTCTGGACCTCAGCACAAGTAATCAAGAGATTTCAAGATAGTTTAGTGTCTGGAAAAAAAAAAAAAGTTCAGTGATTTTTCCCTCAGGATATAATCACAGCCTTGAATTTTTAAGTTAATCATCTACATTTCAAGTCATCATCTTCTCTCTATGATTCTAATCGGAATCTAAGAAATACTAGATTCAACTAAGAAACTCATCTGGGTAGACAAAAATTGACAGACAAATCAACAGACACATATTCGTAACAGCCAGTATGTAGCACATGTGGGATTTAAAACTCAGACAAGCTGACTCCAAAGTGTGTCTACTTAACCACTGTGCTTTTTTTATGGCTTTTGTTGTTGATGATGTTTTACTGCATATACCGGGAGCTCTCCTAGTTGACCTTCACTTAACTGACACACCAGAAAAGCCAAAATTCTCCCTTCCTTCCCTCTGTCAGAAACACTGACTGCTGCTCCCACAATACGCTACTTCCCCTCAGAGACTTCTCATTTGAACACCACACAGTTAGTTCTGCATCATTCGGTGGAATAATTCACTTACCAAGAGCCAACTGGGTTTGTCCCCAGCCTGTGTGTGTCAATTTTGTTATTATAATTACATAATTAATCAAATATTGCACAAATCACTAAGACATGAGTACAAAAAAAAAGAGGTTCATTGCATCTATGAAAACTAGATTAACGACTTAGAAAAGACACAGGAAACACTTGTTTAAAAACTTGCTGGGTCAGTAGACAGTACTACAAAAGATTGAATTTTGAGGAACATAAAAATCAATAAGGATTTCTGTACTCAGATTATTTCAGAAGTGGTTAAATTCTCTTCCCACTTTAAAGAAACTGAAACTCGATATTATAGACAATACACTATTGTATGGTTAATGAAGAAAATACACAGGACTCCAAGTAGCAACTCATACTCAAAGAAGCCTTGGTATTACACCAAAAGATTGACCAACTAATGTTTATATGGCTTATAAATATATGCTTTAAGTTTAAATTTTTAAATTTCAAGTACGTTTGTATCCCTTTTTTTCATAATTTCTTTCCTTAAATGACTTAAGATTTGCTCAATCCCCACTCAGTACCACAAGGCTTCTACTCTAAATACGCACATAACTCCATTAAACTGTTAGGAGTGAAGGGTAAGAAAGGAGGAGGGAGGAATGTTAACTCTTACTGTTAACTCTTACTTCATATTCTTCTGTGTTGTTTGGAATCAAGACAAAATAAAGATTTTATAAGTTTTGGGCTTTTTTTAATTAATTAAATCAAAAACTTTTTCTTTGGAAGGGTGTGGAAGAGGCAGGCGGATGGAGCAAGCAGAGTAAATACTTTTAAAAAAAAAAAAAAGATCAGCTTTGGAAAAGGCCTTCTTACCTTCTTGTGGGGCATAGCCCACCCTTAAATCTGAATCCATTTTGCCCACAATTTCAGTGCAGAGCTGGTTCTTAATCTTGTCCGCCACAGTAGAGAGTTGCAGGAAAGATTCCAGGGAGATCGCATGTTTCCAAGGGGGGTATGAGGCCATTTTCTCCAGGTCGTTGCTCTCTGAGGCAAGCTGGGTGCCCACTGCAAACACGGTAACTCCCGACCTTCGGAGGACAGAAGCTGGTCTGGACACGTTATCTTGGGAGATGCTTTCCGTGATGACCACAGCTATCTGTTGCACCCCTTGGTTGGACCGGCTCCCCTTCTCCTGAATGAAAACCCTGTTCCTTAGGAAATCCAGAGCAGCTCCAGTCTTGAGCCTTCCTCCTCTTCCTCGGTAGGTTAATTTATCCAAATGCTCCAAGATTTGGGCTGGATTCTGAAATGTATCCAGCAAAAACTCAACTCGTGGTTCCCCACTGTAAAAGACCAAGCCAATTCTCACAGCATCAGGATGGATTCTTAGTGATCTGACAGCAGTCTTTAGGAAACTGACAACCTGTCGGAAATTTGATTGACCAGCCCTGCTAAATTCCTCAACCAGGAATACTAAATCAGCTGGAACAGCCTTTGGACACGCTATAAACAAAGAAAGAAACAAACAAAAACAGAAAGAAGGACTTTAGCATGAGAACAGAGTAATAAAGATAATTCTCGTTTAAGGTATAAAACTCATGTGGTGATATGTTTATGTATATTATAATAATATATTTAGTGTTATAAATTATAATAACATATACTAACTTCTATGCATACATTTTAGAATTTAGTGGAAGCCTTTATTTGGCATAATGGCCAAGGAACATCGCAGAGTTCATACCAGCTTCAAAATTTTTCACCTGAAAGAGTATCCACGTCATTTGTAAAATATGTGAATATTTGAATATCCACACGAAATTATTTTGAGATTACTTTTCAATTTATCTCAGTTCATTAGAAGCACCTGAGTCTTGACTCCATTTTCGTAGTTGCAGGAGACCCTGGATCAAATTCTCTTTTATAGGCCTGAAAATGCAGTACATTCACCGTGGATTTAATAATTTTCTCCCTCTCTTAGGAGAAGACAGAAATGACAAATTGTGACTCCTAAAGTTGTGCACCTTTCTCTGATACATTTTATGTCATATCAGCAGGGGGAACATGAAATGTTGCAAGTTCCTATGAAAAATCGGTGTCCAAAAATTGGGCTAGCTGGCTATTTCATTTTGCTATAAAACAACCTTCCTTTTAACCTGCCTCATGTGGGGTAATGGAGTCATGACTGAATAAACTCCCTGCCAAGGGAATTCAGAACACCAGCCTCCCCCTTTGAGGCAGTGCCCAACGTGGGGAACCTACTGGGTCCACAAACCAAAAAGATCCAGAACTGCTTTGACGTGGCGGAAAAAAAAAATCTCCCAAGCAGAGAACTGAAACCACATATGCAGAGAGCTGAAACCAGTGTGTAAAGAAGCTTTAGAGAAGAGAATACTGGGGAAGCAGAATGACCTTTTAACTTATCTCTAGGTCTCTTGATGTCCTGAAATTTTCCCTTTGTTCTTTTTTTATGAAGAACCAAAAATTAACCCTAGGTTTAAAAAAAAGGGGGGCTGCCCCCAATTTTGGCAAGTCTGAGACACCTTCTCTAGAAACTCCAAGCATCTTTGACCTCTTCCTTCATTTGCCAGCACCAACTGTAATTCTCGTTTCAAGTTGTATCGAGGATTCATCCCCTTACATCATTATCTGAGCCACCATTGGGAGGAGCCAAGCATCCTCCCCATGTGGCTTTAAATCCTTCTGAGTCTGAAGTCCCATCTGGAATCTATCCTGTTCACTGAAGGCTTCCTGAAATACTGCTTTGGTCATGAGATATTTTCTGCTCTAAAACCCTTGGTTACTTCCCCATAACCAGGATCTGTCCTAGCTAATCCAGTCTCATTCCTCACTGGTTTTAAACCTTCTCCCACCCCACCCCAATGGGCTTAGTTTTTTACTTTACACTCATCCAGCTCATTCCTCCTCCCACACACTTACTCATGCTGTTCCTCTTGCCAGGAATGCTTTCCTCCTTTCTCCCTGTATGTTAAAATCACACCCATTATTAAAGGACAAGCATAACTCCTCCCAGGCCACCTTCTCCAGGGTGACCTCCTTTTGCTCTATTTCTCCTTAATGTAGTGTCCATATGATGCTGCTTAGTTCCTTATTACTTCTGTTTGGATTTTCTTCTTCTTGTCTCAACTATGTTTGTCTTGTCTGCCCATAAAATTGCAAGGGCCCCTCTCCTGAAGCTCTGGATATTGAGAGGTCTGGGCAGAGCTGGGGCAATTCAGAGAAAAGAAGACGGATCAAGGGGTATCAAGGGAGGCTTCCCCAAGAAAGTAACTTAAGAACTGAAGGATAGAGGTTTGACTATGGGCATTCCATGATGATGTAATGTGTTGAAGGTAGAGACAGAGGTGGGAGAGCTGACATATATACAGCAAATGGTAAGTAGTTCAACTTAGCTGGAGTGTAGAATGTATAAAGGGATTTAGTGTGAAGTAAGGTTCAGTGGTTCTTGACCAACAGTTGTACCCCAGGGGACATTTGGAAAATATGGGAGGGAGGTTGGATTGCCACGATGACTAGGGAATGCCACTGGCAGGGACCAGGGATGCTAAGCCTCCTACAATACAAAGAAAAGTCCTACACCATGAATTGCCCCACCCAAAGTGCCAATAGCATCCGCAGTGAGCATCTTGGATGCCAAAACAGGGACTTTTTTCAGTCCCTGGGGAGAATCCCAACTGTTTCTCCTTCACCTGGAAGAGGTATATGGTAGCATGGATTATTTTTCAGAAATTCGCTCCCTACCTTTCAGTTCCATGGGAGGAATATACTTTATACTTCACTGATGTTGGCCATATGACTTGCTGTGGAAAATGGGATGTTAGCAGACACAATGCAGCAGAGGTCTGAAAAGTACTCGTGCAATGGGGCTCCCTCTTTTGCACCTCTGCCATTACCATGGAAAGAACATGTCCCAGCTAGCCTGATGATCCACGATTATCATAGCCAAACCTAGATCAGCCAACCCCCAGCAAAACCCCAAAGGTGTAAATAAGCCCAGCCAAGATCATCCAAAGCATTCATTTGAGCCTAGCCAAGATCGGCTGATCCTCAGCAGATTGGTGAGAATAAATGGTTCTCTTCAGGCACTGAATTTTGGGATAGTTTGTTATTCATTATCATTGGATCCATAATTAACTAATTCAAGGTGTGCCTAAGGCAGCCCCATGCCTCCTCCTCTTACCCATCCACTGGTGCCAGTGCCCCAGCACTTAGGAATCCAGAATGCCCCCTTCTCTGATCCTCTTTTTATGCTAAGATCCCTCAGAGGTTTACATATCCTAGGGACCAAACCTTACCTACTGCAGCCTCCTCGTTGACCTGAGTCCTGAGCCCTGGCTGCCCAGCCTCTTGGATCACCACACGCACATCCTGCAGCATCTGTCTGACTCCATCTTCTCCTTGCATCTCAAATACAAGGGATGGGGTTCCCATCCCCTCCAGTTCTTTCCTGTCGAAGTTCTGCATGCCCACAGAAATGACTTTCACGCCTTTCTTCCCCAGCGCCTGCGTGGCCTCCCAGACCTCATCCTCAGACTTGCCCGAGGTAATGACCACTGCATACTGGGGAACGCCCTGGAGAAACCGGCTTCCTGCTGCCTCCCGGAAGAAGGTCTGACGAAGGTACCGCAGAGCCTTGCCTGTCCTCCTGGGGCCACCCCGGGGCCTAAACTGCTCCTGGATGTGAACAATCATCTCATTCTGCGTCTGGTAGGTATTGAGCAAAAATTCAGTGTGACCTTGATCGCCATACTGAGCCAGCCCAATCTGGTACTTGTCCTTGCCAACCTCCAGCATGCTAACCACTCTGGAGATGAAATGCCTCATCCGCTGAAAACTGTCCCATGATGTGTCCTGAGAGGTGTCAGCAAGAAAGACCACGTCTGCATAAGCCTTGTTGAATTCTGAAATAGAAGGGAGAAGGAAGAGGGAAAGACACAGAGGACAAAGTAAATTAAACTCTCATGAAAACTGAATACAAAGTGATAATGGTGGCACAACATGAAAAACGTAATCAATGTCATTGAAGGATAAATGTGGAAGTTGTCAAAACAACAACAACAAAAAATGAATACACAGGTGTTTTGTATGGGAATGTGGGCTGGAGAGGTGCTTTACTTACGCAACTTTGTGCATACTGTCATTCTATCTCCTCCATGTGGGTCTCGATTACAAGGCTCTGTCCCTCTCTATATCCTACTGCTTTTTTGACTGCTTTATTAGACTAAAGAATCTTCAACCAAGAGAAGAGGAAAAGGAAGTTAACATTTTTACTGATTAGTTACTTTGTCTTAGAGCTTCTTATATATTTTATCTAATTTAATCCTCATAAATTACCCTACTAGGGAAGTATTATTATCTTCAATGGGCAGATGAGAAAAATGAGGCCTAAAGAAGGGAAGTTGTTTTTCCAAGATAAATAGCTAGAAAGCGGAAAAGCTGTAATTAAAACCCAGGTCTGCTGGACTCCAAAACCCATGCTGTTTCCTCTAGACCACACTGTGGGATATTCTTTCCCTCATTTTCTACCCATGAGAACTCCATCCATCCTTCAATCTCCGGTTCAAATGTCACTTCCTCTAGGAAGTTTCCCCAGATTCTGCAATGATGACAGACAGCTCCTTCTGCCCTCACACTATACCCAGTTTATTCTGGCTCATACTGTAGTTAAATGGTGTGTGCCTTCCTGGACAGGAACTACAGTGTATTCACCTTGAATACCCTGCTCCATCTTAGATGGCATCTCGCGCATCAGTGTTTATGGAATTCAAGTACTGAGTACTGAGCAGATACATTAAAGAATAAAATAAAGACACTGACTATATAATGGAATAAGGTACCAATCCAATGCTATATGCTCAATTTACAATGTCAGAATATTGCTTACTTCATCAATGGAATCCAGTTGAGTTGACCTATTGTCCAAAAAAGCAATTTTCAAGAACCATGTAATTACTATCATTCATTATAAGTCAGTGATGTAAGAGTTCTCATGGAGTGGCTTAATTTGAGCTACTCTGAAACATAAAAGGCTTCTCGTTCCACATTGATGAGCTCAAGACTGAAGTACCTGGTTTATAACTAGGCGTCTGACATACAGGTACCAGGCTTTCATCTAACTTTCAATCATGTTGTGAGAAAAGAAAAAACTTTATTCACCAGAATCTAAAACACAAGCTAAGGTTAGTCAGGGAAGACTTTCAGCACATAATTACATACCACCGAAACCAAAAACCAAACCCGTTGCTGTCGAGTCAATTCTGACTCATAGCGACCCTACAGGACAGGGTAGAAATGCCCCATAGGGTTTCCAAGGAGGGGCTGGTGGATTCAAACTGCCAAGGTTTGGTTAGCAGCCGAGCTCTTAACCACTGTGTCACCAGGGCTCCTTATATACCACAAAGGAGGGATTTTTATAGCTGGCAAAACGGAGCAGCAACATTCAAGCCTTAGCCTGTTTATCAAAATCACCATGTGCTGCTCTTATTGAACTAGTGGATGGGAAAAAAAAAAAAACAAACAAACTAGGGCACCCAGAAGTATCTGGGATTTCTTAGCACTTAGTACCTCTCTGGTTCACAGCATATTCCATGTTATACACTGAAAAATTCCTATCACCTCTTAATCTCTCCAGCTCCAGAGTTATCTTGTTTGTGCTTTTATCCCCAGGGCTTCGCTCAAGTCCTAGTGAACAGTAAGTGTACAATAAATGTCTGAGGAACTCAACTGATGGTTACCAGAACATGGGCAGACAGCCAGGAAAAACTATTATCAAGTCAAGTCCTGAGTAGAATGCATGCAAAGTCACACTGCTTATGTACATCCTTAATTCTCAGAATTATGTTATTAAAGACACCAGAAACAACCTTAGTGCAAGTCAATGTTCCCCAAAGTATGCGTCATTGGTGGTACAGGAGATGATTTCACATGGCCCACAACACGGTGTTCAATAACACTGATTCACATGGTCAGAAACTTGTTACCTTTTCTATTCTCTTTTCACCATTCAAATGAAATCCAGAACAAATTTCTAGGTTTTGTTTTAGAATGTCTTTAACATCTCTCTAACTATTGGCTGGCTTGCTTGCTTTGGACACGGCATCAGGAAAGACCAAAAGCTAGAAAAGGACATCATATTTGGTAAAGCAGAGGGTCAGCAAAAACGAGGGATGCCTTCAGTGAAATGGATTGGCACAATAGCCTCAACAATAGCCTCGAACACACCAATGATCATGAAGATAGCACAGGACTGGGCAGTGTTTTATTCTGTTATACATAAGGTTGCCATGAGTCAGAGCCAACTCGACAGCAAGTAAAAATAATTATTTGCTAATCTCCCTTTTAAACCAAAAAGGCTCAGGCCTCACGTTCAGATGCTTCTGCAGAATGGGGTATCTAGCTAGAATTTTTTAACTTTCTCATTTACTATGTTCAATTGTATGGTTTGTAAATCAGTCAATCCAACCAGGAAAACAGAAACTACTCCGAGTATTTAAACAGGAGAATTTAATGTGGGGAATTGGTTACACTGATACTGAAAAAGGCAAAAAGCTAAACAAAAGAGACAATTAAAGGTTAACAAAAATAAGGAATTATTGTCCAGGCTGGAGGGACAAAAGGAAGAGGTGGTATAACTGGAGCCCAGGGGAAAGGGGCCAGCAGAAGTTGTTAGATCCATGCTGGGCATACCTAGCAGAGTGTGGGGCCACCAAGGAAGCAAAGCTACTGCCAGAGACTGCCCAGAGGTGAGGAAGAAATACCCTGATTTCTCCCTTTTCCCCATCTTCTCAGTGACTCCCACTGGCTAAAACCATCTGAGATAGGAGCCTGAATAACACGGCTATAGGGAGAATCACCTTGCAACATAGAATAGAGCAGGGGAAGGACAAAGAACATCACCGAGGTAGCCAAACCCAGGACTGACAGTTACCTTCTAATGTCAAAGTATACTGTTTTTTTCATTTGTAGTAGTGAGCTTTCAAAATAAATGTAAGTAAAATAAGAGAGTCAATGTAAAGGAAAATATTAAGAGAAGAGATGTAGGAAACTTGACTTGGTTGGAACATTGGGTTTTATCACAGCCTCTTACCTTTAACCTTACCCTCTACTGCTGAGCACAGGGTGTGAAGGATGCTTCCTGAGAGTTCCTGCAGGATGTTGAAGTTTTCAGTGTTGAAGAGAAACTTCTCAAATGGCTCACTGGCTATTTTTTGCAACTCCTGGACATCCTGGACATTAATCCCTACCACATACACAACAACTCCATCTTCTTTCAACCTGTCAGCGGTCTCCTGGACTTCATCACTTGACTCGCCATCTGTCACCAGGATAACTATCTGAGGAACCCGGTCCTGGGCCCGGCTGCCAGCTGCCCCAGTCAAGTAGTTGGTCCTGATGAACTCCAGGGCACTCCCCGTGCTTGTGCCTCCTGTGCGGTAGGGCAGATTCTGGATCTGCTCCAGGACCATGCTCTTCAGAGGGTACTGGTTCAGCTGAAAGGCCGGGTAGATGTTGTCATTATACTGGACAAGTCCCACTCGGACCTGGTCACTGCTGATGTTAAGCCCCAAGACAACAGAGTAAAGGAAGTTTTTCACTTTCTGGAAGTTCCGGGGTCCAATGCTGGTCGAGCTGTCCACTAGGAACACAATGTCTGCCAGGACTGCTTCTCTGCAAGCTATAAGAGGGGAGGGAAGGGATGAGATCCGTGGGTCTTCACTCAAAATGCTTAGAACCAAAGGAGCCAAACGTGAATGTGAACATAAGGGGTCAACAATCCCAGGTAGCCTGTACTCAATGGTCCTCAGACATTGCCCTCAAGTGACAGTGTGCTTAGAGAAGTGTCACCCCCCTTGCCTTGCCTTGCCTGTACTCCATCATCTTGAGGCTTCAGTCCTGTTCTACTGATACCTCCAAACCTGAAATTCACCTGGGCAATCCTTTGAATCTCACTAAGAAAAACACTGCTATAAATGGAATAACATGCTGAGAAAAGGACTGTTCTCTTCCCAGTGGAAGTAAGTGACCAGCCTGTTATCTTTTCACAAAGAAACCTCATCTCTAGAATGCGCTGGCACCAATAGGTCAGAAAGCTAGAGTATATCCCATATGTCATAATATCTCTCACTGCAGCTCTATCACTTACGTATTACCCCTGTGACTATTGACCACTTACTTCTTTGAGACTCAATTTTCTTCTCTGCAACAGTGAAATCTTTGTACCATCCCTCATGCTATCACAGGATTGTTATAAGGATACAATAAGATAATCTACTGTAACAGACAATATCAGAGCTCTGCCTAGGCCCCCTTTGATTCTTTGTTACCTTTTCTTACACTGGTCTTTGGAGGACTGACTTCTGGCTACTGGAGCTGCTTTGTCTGCAGTATACAAAAGCCTAGCTCCTTACTTTGGGTCAAGACAACTCTAAAGTGTAACTTACATTGCTGAGTGCCCCAGCAGCCTCAGGCTAAAGCAACACTCTGTGGAAATTTTCTCTCAGATCACACCCTCTCTTACTTTCCTCTATTTCTCTGTACTATATCCCCCACGTCCTTACTGACTTCTTCCCTGAGAACTCTGCCTTAATATATATATATGTCTACCCAAATCCTTGCCTCAGGCTCTGCTTCAGGAGAACGCAATCTAACGCACCTGCTCTAGTGGAATGAGTCGGCTCCACAAGACCAGGGATCAAGTCCTAGCTCTGCCATCCACTTGTGTAACCTTTGGCCTCAGTTTCCTCATTGGAAAAAATGGAAATAATAATGCTAATTTCCCTATGAATCTAACAAAGTTGAGATGATGGGTCAGTTACATGACCAATGTAAACACGCTTTGACAACTATATAGCACCAAGCAGATGGTAATCATCATTACTATATATATAAACCTCTTTTTAAACCTTGAAGGGCTAAACAAAAGTAAGGCATATAATATTTATTTGGCCATACAAATGCTATAGTCCCACCACTAGCATGTCAATCACACAAGTGCTACATCAAATGAGGCAAAAGTTTTAGCATCTGTTCCAATTCTCCTACCCTATATGCAAATACTAAAATCATAAACACTTGTGTGTTTTTAATGGAACCTACAAGCAATCTTCTCTTTCCTTGCACTAAGCTCAATACTTTACTACAGAGTTCAGTAATTAATTTATAAAGAATTTTTACCAGCTTATTCCCATCATCACCAATGGAAACACAAAGTTAATGACAGGTATATCACCACAGGTAAGGACAGTTAATAATAGGTCATGCTTAGGGGCCCCCCTGATGGGCTAGGCACTGTGCCAAGCACTTTCCATGCATAACTTCAGTTCTCTCAATAGCTCTCTGAGGCAGGTACCATCACCCTATGAAGAAAACTTAGGATCGGAGAAGTAAAGTAGCTGTCAAAGACGACAAAATCAGAAAGAGGAGAACTAGGATTTTAGTCCAGGTATTTCTTTTCCCTAAATTCATGCTCTTAACCACTGCATTATACCAACATATTGGGAGTAAAATAAACGTCTTGGGAGATCCACTGCCCCTCTCCCCTCCTCTGCTCCCCACCCAGGCAATATGGGTAAGTCAATCTAGGAATAACAGTATCATTCTAGAAACAAATAATCCTGCCTTCAAAAACGGACTTATACTACATTAGCATACAGAACCAGCATATGCGTTTACAAAAAAGAGTTGATAAGTGTTTGGTTAATGATTAAAGAGGAACATGGAGTACAGAGAGTTTAGCAAAATTTTAAGATTCAATCTGCAATATTAAGTGTGCCCAAGCAATCAAGGCACCTTACCAACCCCCCACAACCTACCCCACCCCAAGTTCTGGAAAATAAAAAGGACAGTGAGAGGGAGGAATTAGGCAGATAAAACTTTGAGTTCTGTGCCGTCCAGATCAGAAATAAGAAGGGAAAGCCTTTGTACCTGGAGAGATGTGGTCAGCTGGTGGAGCGGCCTTTGCCAAAGTATCACAGAGCTCCTGCCGCAGCCTCTGGGCAAGGCT